CTGGGTCTCCTTTGGTTGCCCTGCACCAGAGAACGGAGCTGGAAAGCAGGTTAGTGGGGTGGGGAGGGAAGGGGGATTTTACAGTATCCTTCCCTTGCCACGCCCACCAAGCCACACCCCACAGAAGTGGTAGTAAAAAAATTTTTTTAATCCCACCACTGGTGTAAATGAAGCCAAAAATCCATTTAGATCCCTTGATAATCTCCTTCAGTTTTTTTCTACTGCTCTATACTCCATCCTTAACAAGCCTGGTTGTCGTTTTTATTCCTCCCCCCAACCAGGCAAATCTTCCTAAAAGGATGCAAACATGTCCTTAGTTCTCCCTCTCCTCTTATCTCTGCCAAACAGAGGGACACAAATGGCATTTGGTGAACTTTATTTACCAGCGAGCAGGCCTCCCTCCTTATCAGCTCTCCTCCTAACTCTTTGTGAGCCTCGGAATGTAGGCGAGGAATAACTCAGGAAATCTTAATGTTCCTTGATAAACTTTCACCTGCCGTACCTCTTTCCTTCCTTTTGAAAGCGCCAGGCTATTATTTCCTTATCCTCATTTGCATTCTTTCTCTTTTCGTTACAGCAATTGGGGTGGGAGGGCAGTGAGAAGTTGGGCAGCACTCCTCAGCTCGCAATAGAATACCTTAGGCCACCTGGCTTGAAATTTTGGACCTAGACAACTTAGAACAGTCTGACCTAAGCTTAGTACACAAAATTGTCTGCTCTAATGTCCTACCTGTCAATGCCTACTTCAGCTTTGACCACAGTAACACACGGGCAAAAACAATAGATACAAATTCAAAGTGAACCGCTCCAAACTCGACTGCAGCAAAATACGACTTCAGCAACAGAGCCGTCAATGCCTGGATATCCACTACCCGACTCCGTTGTTACATCCTCAAACCCCCCAAAATTTAAATTTAAACTGTCTACCATGGACCTCACTCCAGTGGTGGTATTCAAAAAAAATTTTTACTACCAGTTCTGTGGACGTGGCTTGGTGGGCATGGTTTGGTGAGCGTGGCAGGGGAAGGATACTGCAAAATCTCCATTCCTTTCCCCCACCCCCACTAACCTGCTTTCCAGCTCCGTTCTCCTGTGCAGGGCAACTAAAGGAGACCCAGCCACTCAGCTGGGACCAAACGAGGCTGTGTCAAAGAGCTATCTACAAGCCTGCCATGTTAAGTGTGCTTGGATGTGTGTCGATTTATCAACATATGTTTGCTGTGAAGAGCGTCCTCTTTCTTCCCCATTCCCCCTTCAAGTCGAGCAGGTGGGCTCACATTCTTTTCATTCTGATTGAGATCCTCCTCCTCCTCCTCCTCCTCCTCCTCCTCCTCCTCCTCCTCCTCCTCCTCCTCCTCCTTCTTCTTCTCCTTCTTCTCCTCCTCCTTCTTCTATCTTTCTCTCTCTCTCTCTGCCACTCTCCCTCCCTCTCTCCTTGTCAGTAACGTCACCTGGGAAAATGCAAACCATATCTGTTCCGGAATAGTAACAGAGACAGATGGCTTGGCTGATGTTTCCTCCCTGCTGGAATGTCAGATTAAATTAGCGCAGGGAAAGATGAGATCAGTCAGAATGGATAATTCCTACAATCCATCCAGCCCCGTATCCTGTTTGTCAAAACCCCAGACTGTCTGAGTCCGGAAGAACTAAGAAGACCTGAAGATGTGATCACCCAACGCACACAAAACACATAGAAATGGATACACCAGGATTTAATCTTGGTGTACTTCAGGAAACATTTACGATTTGTGTCAGAAACCCCCATTTGTTTCTTTGTTAGTTTGTTTGGTTGGTTGATCTATCTATCTATCTATCTATCTATCTGTCTGTCTGTCTGTCTGTCTGTCTCTCTGTCTCTCTGTCTGTCTCTCTGTCTGTCGATCTATCTATCTATCTATCTATTATCTATCTATCTATCTATCTATCTATCTATCTATCCATCCATTTATCTAATCATCTCCATCCCTCCCTCCATCAATCATCCATTCATCCATTCACCTCTCTCTCTCCCTCCCTATTTATTATCATCTATCTATCAATCCATCCATGCATCCACCTCTCTCTCTATAATCTAGCTGTCTACCTGTCTATCTACCTGCCTACCTACTTATCTTTATGTTATTTGTTTGTTTGTCAAACATGTACAAAATAACAAGTATAGGTATGAACAGAAACAAGAACAAAGGAAGTAAATACAGATAAATGGGGACAGTAGGACAAGGACGGTAGGCACACTGGTGTGCTTATGCCCGCCCCCTTTAAGGACCTCTTAGGAATGGGGTGAGGTGCACAGTAGGCAGTTTGAGGTTGAAGCTGGGAGGGGTTGAGGCTTTAACAACAGAGTCGGGTGGTTCTCTGTGGTTGAAGTCGTGTTTTCTGCAATATTTAGGAAAACAACCCATTTCTTTTCCTCCTCCCTTTTTTTTTTTTTAATTGCGGCCTGGGCTTTACCTTCCAACTTTCCCAGTGGGAAGAGTCAAACCGCAACGGATGGAAGAAACCCTGCGGAGGATTTGGCACTTTAAATTGACAATATTGATCTGCCAATCTGGTTCAATCTGGTAGAATGCAGCTGTCTCTGTTGCTGTCGAAGTCTGCCTGACATGAGGAATACCCAGCCTTGTGAACGTGTCCTTAATCTTTGGAAATCTGCAGCTGGAAAGGAGGGCTGGGAAATATCTTTTTTGGGGGGTGGGGGGGTGGGGGGAATCCTTTGAAACCAAGATCTTTTTTCTGGCCTTCCTCTTATCTGAGCTCTTGGGGAATATGAATGTTTCTGGTATCTATTAGCATCTGTTGATATTTGTTTGCTTTTTAGTTGGACTAGCTGCCCCGTTACAGCTTTTTTGTAGTATTTATTTGTTAATTTATATCCCTTGTTTATTATTTTGTACAAATAATAGCAATAGCAATGGCAGTTAGACTTATATGCTTTGCAGTCCTCTCTAAGCGGTTTACAGAGCCAGCCTCTTGTCCCCAACAATTTGGGGTCTCATTTTACCCACCTCAGAAGGATGGAAGGCTGAGTCAACCTTGAGCCTGGTGGGATTTGAACTGCCGAACTACTGGCAGTCAGCAGAATTTGCTTGCAATACTGCATTCTTACCACTGCGCTACCATGGCTCTTAAATAACTCAAGATGGTGAACATATCTAACACCTCTTGTTTTCCCCACCACCACCACAACAACTCTGTGAGGTGGGTTGGGCTGAAAAAGAGGGACTGTCCCAAAGTACCTGCTGGCTTTCCTGGCTAAAACAGAACTACAACTCACAGACTCCTCCTGATGAGTTGCCCAAGCTTACCCAGCCAGCTTTCATCCTTAAGGCAGGACTAGAACTCACCAGCTCCTGGTGATTGGCCCAAAGTCATCTAGTTGGCTTTCATGCCTAAGACAGGACTAGAACTCACAGTCTCCTGGTGATTTGCCCAAAGTCACCTAGTCAGCTTTCATGCCTAAGACAGGACTAGAACTCACAGTCTCCTGGTGATTGGCCCAAAGTCACCCAGCCGGTTTAAGCAGAACTTGAACTCACAGTCTCTCGCTTTCTAACCTGGAGCCTTAACCACTAGACCAAACTGTCTCTCCTAGTTTGCCTTGTTGTATAACGCAAGAAATGTAATGAAAATGCTCTTTGTTATTAACTCTCTGACCAGCCACCATGGAGGGGCCATGTCGTATCCGTCATCTCAACTTTTGCTGTCATGCCTCCAACGGTCTGCCTATCTGCTTCCTTGATAGAAAAGTTATTTTGTCAGGGGTCCACAGTGTGAAATCAAGGATTTTAGAATTTGGCTGGATAATACTGAAAAGGAAGTCATTATGAACTGCAATAAACCTGGCAGGGGTTTTGCTTGATTCAATTTATCAGCTGTCTATAGCACGACCGTAATTATGGTTGTTATTATTTTGATTAAAGGCAAATTGATTAGACCATTTGATGCCCCCTCCCCCGGGGACAGGGTTTCTTTCTCTTTGTGTATTTTTGGGGAAAGCAGTATTAAAATCCCATTAACACAGGTTTTACAGCCAAGGCCTAATAAACAGTAAACTCAATCATCATGAAAATAGGAGGTAATAGCCTTCTAAGGCTGTAATGATCTTAGAAGTATGGATCAAGGACAGGTGCGCTTAAGGCCTGGGATGAGTTAGTGGTTCTTTATGAAGTTTGACACATTTACCTGGCTGGTCATAAATTGATGGGCCATGGTTTTAATCGCCCATTTTCAAAACTTTGGAGGTCAAATTTGGTCTTTCTTATGATGTTTTTGAGTTTTTGTATGTTCTTCCTCTTTTTAATTAAAAATTCTCTTCTTCTTCTTCTTCTTCTTCTTCTTCTTCTTCTTCTTCTTCTTC